TGGTATCTAAAACCTTACCTGGTATCTTAAACCTAACCTGGTAAATTTAAGCATAACAGGGGATCTTAAACCTAACCGGTATCTTAAACTTTACGTGGTATCTCAAACCTAACCTGGTATCGTAAACTTAAATTGGTATCTTAAACTAAACTTGGTATCTTAAGGGTTAGGTGGTATCTTAAACCTAGCCTTGTATCTTAAACATTACCTTAATCTTAAACAAGTTTTCTAAATCTAACCTGGTATCTTAAACCTAACCTGGTATCGAAAACTTAACCTGATTTATTAAACCTAATCTGGTAACTTAAACCTAACCTGGTATCTTAAACTTTACCTGGTATCTTAAACCTTACCTGGTATCTTAAACCTTACCTGGTATCTTAAACTATACCTTTATCGTAAACTGGTTTCTAAAACTTAACCTGGTATTTTAAACCTAACCTGGTATCAAAAACTTAACCTGGTATCTTAAACCTAACCTGGTAACTTAAACCTAATCTGGTAACTTAAACCTAACCTGGTATCTTAAACTTTACCTGGTATCTTAAACCTTACCTGGTATCTTAAACTTTACCTGATATCTTAAACTATACCTTTATCGTAAACTGGTTTCTAAAACTTAACCTGGTATTTTAAACCAAAATGGTATCAAAAACTTAACCTGGTATCTTAAACCTAACCTGGTAACTTAAACCTAACCTGGTAACTTAAACCTAACCTGGTATTTTAAACCTAACCTGGTATCAAAAACTTTACCTGGTCTTAAACTAATCTGGTATCTTTAAGTAAGGTTTGGGTTAGGGGTTAGGGTTAGGGTTAGGGTTAGGGTTAGGGTTTGGGTTAGGCTTAGGGTTAGGGTATAGGGGGTTTTACGAAGATCGCTCCGGAGTCATCTCGTTAGGGTTAGGGTTAGGGTTAGGGTTAGGGTTAGGGTTAGGGTATAGGGGGTTTTACGAAGATCGCTCCGAAAGAGTCATCTCGTCAAAAGCTCATAACTTTCTTACCCATTCTGTTCTTTACCAGATTTCCCCCTTGCTATACATAATGCATACCCCACCCTACCCCACTGATCATAATTTAGACATTTTGAAATCTACACTACCCCATGATCCTTCCATGGGCACATATGTTTCAGCTTTTTTGGCCCAGTGGTTCCTGAGAAGAAGATTTTCAAAGATTTTTCCTATATATTTCTATGTAAAACTTTGATTCCCTATAATGGCCCACCCTTCCCCCGGGGGTCATGATTCCTACAATTTAGAATTTACACTAGCCCAGAATGCTTCCACATAAGTTTCACTTTTTCTGGCCCAGTGGTTCTTGAGAAGATTTTTCCTATATATTTCTATATAAAATTTTGATTCCCCATTGTGGCCCCGCCCTTCCCCCGGGGGTCATGATTTGAACAATTTAGAATCTACATTATACCAGGATGCTTCCACATAAGTTTCAGCTTTTCTGGCCCAGTGGTTCTTGAGAAGAAGATTTTCAAAGATTTTTCCTATATATTTCTATATAAAACTTTGATACCCCATTGTGGCCCCGCCCTTCCCCCGGGGGTCATGATGTGAACAATTTAGAATTTACACTATACCAGGATGCTTCCACATAAGTTTCAGCTTTTCTGGCCCAGTGGTTCTTGAGAAGAAGATTTTCAAAGATTTTTCCTATATATTTCTATATAAAACTTTGATTACCCATTGTGGCCCCGCCCTTCCCCCGGGGGTCATTATTTGAACAATTTAGAATCTACATTATACCAGGATGCTTCCACATAAGTTTCAGCTTTTCTGGCCCAGTGGTTCTTGAGAAGAAGATTTTCAAAGATTTTTCCTATATATTTCTATGTAAAACTTTGATTCCCCATTGTGGCCCCGCCCTTCCCCCGGGGGTCATGATGTGAACAATTTAGAATCTACACTATACCAGGATGCTTCCACATAAGTTTCAGCTTTCCTGGCCCAGTGGTTCTTGAGAAGAAGATTTTCAAAGATTTTTCCTATATATTTCTATGTAAAACTTTGATTCCCCATTGTGGCCCCGCCCTTCCCCCGGGGGTCATTATTTGAACAATTTAGAATCTACATTATACCAGGATGCTTCCACATAAGTTTCAGCTTTACTGGCCCAGTGGTTCTTGAGAAGAAGATTTTTTAATGACCCAACCCTATTTTTGTCTTTTCTTGATTATCTCCCCTTGCGAGGGGATATGTCCCTTCATTTTAACAATTTAAATTCCCCTTCACCCAAGGATGCTTTGTACCAAGTTTGGTCAAAATTGGCCCAGTGGTTCTTGAGAAGAAGTCGAAAATGTGAAAAGTTTACAGACGGACAGACAGACGGACGGACAGACAGACAGACGGACGGACGGACGGACGACGGACAAAATGTGATCAGAAAAGCTCACTTGAGCCTTCGGCTCAGGTGAGCTAAAAAAGTTATTAGAAAAAAACAGAAAATTTGTGGACGGAAGAGTGACAGACGGACAGCTAGACAGACAGACGGACGGACAGAGTGATTACTATAGGGCACCCGCAAATCCTTGCGGGGCCCTAATGATAGGTACTGTACAGCAGGAAATTAACTCGCGGAGTTAATTTTCGCTTTATTCGCGGAAAAAGAAATTCCGCGATTCAACATACAGTGAATAGCTCTTAAAAAGTTTTATAAGGATAAATTGAAATTTTATTATTTTCTATGATTAGATGTAGACTGTCTTTATAATTATGCCAGTGCATGGATCAATTACAAAACAGTTGTTGCTGTTTTTAAAGCTTATAAATTGTTTAATTCATTTCGATAGCTAACGATTAATTTTCCCATCTAGTAGACGTGCGATGTAATTATTTGAAAAAACATGATTGTTTAATTTCACGCGTGCGCATCGCTTAGTCATTACCTTTAATCAATTAAGGCTTATGCTTAGTAAACAGGGTAACAGCAATTAATTAATTTCAATTATATTATCAAAAGTTAAAATTGTTTTACTATGGTATAATTTTTCTCTGATTTGGACCCGGTGTAATATAATATATTGAACCCCGCGATATTTTGAACCCGGGTTCAAAATATCGCTGCGAAATATTGAACCCCCTATAAAATATTGAACCCGGGGTTCAAAATATGATGGCCATAAAATATTGAACCCCCCTGTCCTTTTAATTTCAGAGGTAGGGGGTTCAAAATATTATGGCCATAAAATATCGAGTCCCCAGCCCATTTAAATTTACAGGGAGGGGGGTTCAAAATATTATGGCCATAAAATATTGAACCCCCCTGCCCTTTTAATTTAAGAGGTAGGGGGTTCAAAATATTATGGCCATAAAATATCGAGTCCCCTACCCATTTAATTTTACAGGGAGGGGGGTTCAAAATATTATGGTCATAAAATATCAAGTCCCCTACCCATTTAATTTTAAAGGGAGGGGGGTTCAAAATATTATGGCCATAAAATATTGAACCCCCCCCCTGCCCATTTAATTTAAGAGGTAAAGGGGGTCAAAATATTATGGCCATAAAATATCGAGTCCCCTACCCATTTAATTTTACAGGGAGGGGGGTTCAAAATATTATGGCCATAAAATATCAAGTCCCCTACCCATTTAATTTTACAGGGAGGGGGGTTCAAAATTTTATGGCCATAAAATATCGAGTCCCCTACCCATTTAATTTTACAGGGAGGGGGGTTCAAAATATTATGGCCATAAAATATAGAGTCCCCTACCCATTTAATTTTACAGGGAGGGGGGTTCAAAATATTATGGCCATAAAATATCGAATCCCCTACCCATTTAATTTTACAGGGAGGGGGGTTCAAAATATTATGGCCATAAAATATTGAACCCCCCTCCCTTATAAATTAAATGGGCAGGGGGACTCCATATTTTATGGCCATAATATTTTGAACCCCCCTCCCTGTAAAATTAAATGGGCAGGGGGACTCCATATTTTATGGCCATAATATTTTGACCCCCCCCCCTTATAAATTAAATGGGCAGGGGGACTCCATATTTTATGGCCATAATATTTTGAACCCCCCTCCCTGTAAAATTAAATGGGCAGGGGGACTCAATATTTTATGGCCATAATATTTTGAACCCCCTCCCTTATAAATTAAAAGGGCGGGGGACTCGATATTTTATGGCCATAATATTTTGAACCCCCCTCCCTGTAAAATTAAATGGGCAGGGGGACTCGATATTTTATGGCCATAATATTTTGAACCCCCCTCCCTGTAGAATTAAATGGGCAGGGGGACTCAATATTTTATGGCCATAATATTTTGACCCCCCCCTCCCTTATAAATTAAAAGGGCAGGGGACTCAATATTTTATGGCCATAATATTTCGAACCCCCTATCTCTGAAATGAAAAATGTAGGGGTTCAATATTTTATAAGGGGGTTCAATATATCGCGGTATCAAAATATTATGCTACACCTGTCATGGAAATAAAAAATATTAAATGCGTAGCATTATTTTGACTTCAAATCTGGATCAGTCCTGTTTTTCGTTATTATTCAATCGGGATCAAAATCGACACAATATATAGACTTTACTTTTCTGTCTGATATGCGCGATATACATTACAGACTTTCGTAATATACTATAGAGACGGGAAATAGCAGTTCACACAATATATACCTACAGAAAAATGCTTCCAAGTATTGTTTGAGAAATTTATGGTTTTTCCTTTTCCGCGAATTCAAACGACCGCGATTTGCTGAAAATTGAACAAATCGCGATCTTTTCCGACCGCGATTTTAACCTGCTATACAGTATAGACTTGCACTGCTATGAAGGGCAGTGCAAGTCTTACAGTGTACCTATTCCAGATACACTGTAAGAGGTTAAGTTGACTTATCAAAACCTTGTTTCTCTTTCAGTTTTAATTAATTCTATGAATTAATTAATATCAAATCTTTAAAGAATTGTACTTGTAGGATACAAAAAACAAATATTTTGTTTCTCTTAACACGCAATAAGCTCTCTTTATACACACCAACATAAGGAATCTCCAATTCAATACACTCTCCTTTTTTGACAACAATTTCTTCTGGGATGAATTTTGGATCCACTTTTGGTGGTTTTGGCACTGTAACAGATAATTAATATAAACTATTAACTGAAAACTTTGCTTTAAATGTGTAGTATTTTGTGGTACTTTGCTTTCATGATCCATCCATGATTCAAATTCTCTATTTGATTATCCATTACATTTTATGAACTTACATTCTTCAACAACCACATCAGCCTTGGTTGGTCTTTCTCCGACTTGACATGTATACTGTCCAGCATCGTCACGATTCAGATTCGTAATCACAAGTTTGTGCATCTCACCCTTCCTGGTCACCTCAATTCTCCTGGCAAACAGAGAGGCAAAAAATTATACAACAATTATCTAAAGATGTGCTCTTGAAGTTAATTTTTGTACCCCCTTTACAATAAGAAATTTCTTTATTTCATGATAATTTGTTGAAAAATTTAACATTCCAGGAAAAACTAGAACTGTCCAATAGGGACAAATACCCTCCACTGGGTTTTTCAGAGAAGGTGTCAATTCAAAAATACTTTATGGATCTAGAGGTGCTCACAATTTACTTACAAAAATTTGCAGTGAAATATAATTGCTCATCATGTTTCTTAATGAATGAAACAAAGGTGCAACCAAATGAAACATCAATACTAATACATTGTAATTTCATTGTAACATTATTTTTTTTTATTTTTTATTTTATTTTTTTATTTCTGCATTAAAAAAATATATTGCAATTATGTGTTATGTCACTCTGCAAACTAATTGTTGAAAAAAAAATCATATTATACAAAATCAAATTAATCTTGATAACTTTTTATCAAATTCATTTTGAAAATAAAGAGCTGGTCATCCAGTAATGAAGTGCTTTGACAGACAATAAATTACAATTAAGAGAATAAGAGAAGAGAGATCTTTAATTCTTGTGCTGCTCGATTCCCAGGAGATAACACATGGTTGATAATGAGATTAATGTTCACACCAAATTCATTAATTTATCTTTAACTGGGTGCATGTCCAGTCATTATTCCCAAGAGACAAATGAAATTACATTATCTTCTGTGCAATGTAAAAACTGTTTTTAACATTTGATTTTTTAAAATGTTTTTATGAGTAGTTTTCAGCTGTAGTATTTTTGTACAGATATTCTAGATTCTATGGCTCAAACCTTATACATGAGCCCAAAATGAACAAGTCAATTAAAATAAAAAATAAAACCTGTAAAATGCAAAAAAAAAAATGAACAAAAAGAGTTGAAAATTCCAGGTGCACACTTTCATATGGTGAATAATAAGTATACAAATTTTCAGCTTAATCCTTGCAATAGTTTCTGAGAAACGGTCCAGATAAAACCACAAAATAAAAATGAAAAAACACCTGTAAAATTCAAAATAATAATGGAATCAAGATGAAAATATCAGGTGCACAACATCATTTGGTGAATAATATGTGTACAAATTTTCAGACAAATGCTTCCAATAGTTTCTGAGTAATGGTCCGGACAAAATCTCGTCTACAGACAGACGGACAAACGGACGGACGGACAGACAGAAAGACATGGTGATTCCAATATACCCCCCCTAAACTTCGTTTGCGGGGGGTATAAAAAAATACCAGTACAAATGTGAGCAATTTTCTTTCTCAAAATGAACTTTCAAGTTTTAGATATTTATAAGGACTTACGGGTCATCCTTGTTGATAGGCAAACCGTCTTTGAGCCACTTGACAGGCTGGTTGTGTGGGTTAGATGCTTTACACTCCAACACCAAGGTTCCTGTCTCCCTCTCTTTTTTGTTCTCCAGCTTTTTGAAGAATTTGATGTCAGCTGAAACATAGTTACATAACATATATACATAAAAAACTTACTTATGATCTTGTTGAAAATATTTCACCATCACCTAACAAGGTTTCATCAATTTTTTTTTCATTACAGTAGTGACCTTTTTTTCCATTAAATATTTTACTAAATCTGCTACTTTGAAAGATGTCAAGTCAAGCTACCAGCTATCAAGAAATGGACCTACGTTCCACGAAGAGGTTGGCTGTGGTTGATTTATCCAGCACTTTACAGGTGTATTCTCCATCATCCTTCATGTGACAATTCTTGACAATCAGTCTACGTTTGAAGTTGTCTTTCTGGATCTCATATTTTCCACCTCCACTCAGCTCCTGTTCAATGAAAATACATGCATTAGATAGTACAACAATGGTGCACACTTCAAAACATGGACGAGACTCTTTTTTTTTACCATAGATGTACCTTTTTCCTTGTGGTATTAATTTGCATGATGTATTTATTTGCATATGTATTGATCACAAACTTTCTGAGTAAATTCTTACAGTATATTTTATAAACATATATTATATAACTTTGTGAAATCCGGTAATCTGATTGGTCAATATGAATTAATTATTTCTTTATAATGACCGTTATTTTTTTTTATCATGACCACTGAGAGCGAATTATGACTTGCACAAGCTGCTTTTTTTCACTTTCACTTTAGTCAAACATAGAAGTTTGCAAGTTTGCGAGTTGTAGTGAGGATTTTAAAGATATAGTGAAAAACTCTGAGTCTGAGAATATGAAATGATTAACAAGGATATCTGTTAAAATTTTTCAGGGAATACTCAGCACATACCATTTCATGGTTGAATTCGACTTTTCCACTCGTAGAGCAGAGTTTTGACGCTGTTTACGGAGACGAAAGAAAATAAAGACAAGCATGCCAGGTATGATTGTGTAGATAATTTTTCGTAGAAGACAAAGGTATTGACATTTTGTCAGTGCATTTCCTCTTCAAGTGTAAATGAGTGCTATTCTTAGAAAGGGGGTACTCTGTGCTATTTGGAGCTAGTTAGAAACCTTGTGTTATTATTATGCTATGGGTTAAAATTTCTTACCGCTTCAAGTGCCTCCTAGTAACATTCAATAAATTTTGAAACATTTACATTCAACTTATCTATGGATAACAACAACAGCATATCAATATCTCTATAAACACTAGGAAGATATACATTGTACTAATAAATTTGGGAAATTATATAATGTAATAAATATGGACTCAAAATCACTCAATGCATGAGCAATATGCATTTATAATGACCCAGGATGACAGATTTTGAGCTCAGATACATGTAGAATATTGACCTCGAGCTAGCACCCTCAGTTGATATACACCATGTATCTTCGGTCAATAACCGTCATCCTGGGTCATTATAAATGCATATTGACCTACATTGAGTCCATATTTGTATAACAGTACCAACCACAGAAATCATACAATTTTTTTACCAGCAAACTGAACAGAAATTGTGATATGGCAGAATCCTCAGCATTTGGAAAAAAAAGTATGTTTACAGTATATGACTGACCAGCCTTTAAATTACTATTTTTAGCATAACAAACCTTGTTTCCTTTCCACCATGTGACCTCGGCCTCAGGGTCGTTGACGTCGCACTCAAACACGGCCTTGTCACGCTCCACTCCCTCTACATCCTCCAACAGCTTCATAAAGTCCCACTCAGGCTCTGTAGGGCAAAAATAAGTACAGTAAAACTCGTTTATAATAAAGTCACATGGACCTATAAAATTACTTCTCTATATCCTTAATTCGTTATATCCGTATAAGGAATTCGTTAAATTTATGTAACTGGGGATACAAAATAACTGCTATATCCATGAATTCACAATATCCGTGTTCGTACTAAACAAGTTTTACTGTATAAACATTTAGTTTCTTTGTTTTATGTGTACCAGGTAATACTTAATTCTTATTTGAATGATTTTAGTTGGATCTGATTCCATATACAGAATATATCTGTTTTAGCTATACACTTTATAGTGTGTGCAATCACTTTTCTAATATAAAATTGTTAAAAACATATCAAAACTCTCCATGTAAAACATAATATATTGAGCACATAAAGGAAAAAATAAATTAATATATACACCAGGAAAGAATAAGGGTTGTAACACTGTATACTGACCTTCGACCTTGAGTTTACAGGTGGTGGTGGCTGCACCACACTCACACATGAACTCGGCCTCATCCTCCGGCTGAGCGTCCTTGACCCTCAGGATACAGCGGTTCTCTCTTCTCTGTATCTCCAACTTGCCAGGTGTGTACTGTAGATAATGAAATCAAAATCAGGTGTGGTTATTTATTACCAAGTTTCCTGAGTTGTTGATAAAAAAAAACTGAAGGAAAATGTCTGTTTTCAATGAAATTGATTTGCTGTAATTAACTTGAGAGTATTGCACACATAGGGTAATGTTTGGTGCTTTTTCAAAATATAGTGTAACATCAACAGTCATTTGAGGTAAAAAAAAAAAAATTTAGTACACATGATGATAAGAAATTATCAAATATCATAAGGACTTTTATAGACTTAATTTTTATCTTGTTAATTATAAATACATTATCTAAATCTGATAATTAAAAGAATTCACAAATTTCAATTTAAAAGGCAACAACAAAGATTTAAACATTTAAAAAAAATTTCAAATATGAAAATTGATACCTTTTTCACTTGACCTTAAAATTCTTATATGCATGAATAGATAAAAACATTAAATTGATAAGGGAAATGATTATAAATAAAAGCTTTGTCATAATGAACTGAAACACAACTAATGGTTTAAATCTTCAACATACACAAACTTAAACTATAAACAAATTTAATATGGTAGAAGTGGTGGTGTGATATTATCTAGAAGGTAACATTTTTAACCATTTATCATGTTAATGATCTGTTATCCTAACATTAAGAAGGATAAAATAACTGTTTAAAATATGGGCCAGGTTAGATAAATGCATTTTTACAGAATTTGAGGGTTCTGCATAATAACAGCTGCTATCCAGATCATTTTAACCGGTCAAAGTAGCTCTTCAAACTCTGGCAGATTTTTAAGTAAGAGTCTGAAATTAAAATGTTCAGGGAAAACTGAAAAGGAAAAGTTTTTAGCTATTACATGAAAAGCAGATTAAGCACCATAAACTTCTGGCAGTTTGATAAAACACATGAGTGAAATAATTCAATAAATATTTCATACAAGAATCTTCTGATCAACAGAGGTGTATGATGACACATGCTAATGTTGTGTATTCTGGTGAAGAATAATGGACCAGTTTTATGAGAAGCCTGTGATACAGAGTGATATTATTTTACCTACCATACCACCAAAGGTAACAAATCTCAACATAAAAGAAAACATTTCAAATATCTAAAAAATACAATATTTTTTTTAATTGAAAAAAAAAAAATTCAGGCTCTGTGAAAAATTTAAATTTTTTTCTGCTTGAAGGGATCCTCCATACTGTTACAGCCCCAGGGACTGAGTGGTTTCACCAGACACCCTGATGACGACGACCAGAGTGAATCTTCCTTCTCTAGTGATTCGTCAGAAACCTACAAGAATGAACTCATCTACCCCGTCCTCAACTCCAAGGGCCCCTCAGCTCAGACTACCGCGGTCTGGAGCTACCTCAAACCAGACAGCATCGCAATCTTCCCTCCAGGAGAATCCAACCTCATGTCGCGGATTGTGAAATATTCACAGAATAACCTCGGTTATGAGAGACACCAACACAAACTGATGATGCTGACTCCTGGGCAGTTATCTCCCTTAGATCTTAAAAGTGTATACAGTGTCAGACCTGGGTCGGTCGTCATGATTTTCCCTCGGAGTCGTGATCATGTGACCATTGATATCGCTCAACTTTACGTAAATTTCACCCTGTCTGTCGATCCTTCTATGACGGTGTACAGTCTTAAAAAACACATCAGGAAGATGAGAGGGATTCCTATTGACAGACAAGAACTGCTTTATATGGACCAAGCCCTGGAGAACAATCGCCGACTACTGGAATACAGGGTGAAGAACAGATCCATCTTGTATGTGATGATTCAAGCTCACTTTGATTTGTTGATCAATGTAGACACATTCTGGGGGATTACCTACAGATTCTATGTGGATCCCTGCAGCACTGGTACTGACGTTGTCCTCAATGTGTTCAGTCGAACATTTAGCCCCTCTGGTCCCAGAGAATATGATGGTGTTCATGAATTCTTTATCCCTCTACACACTTTAGTTTTGAGTCACAAATCCAGATTTGTTCTTTGGGATTACTGCCTAGCTGGGATGGCCATCAAATCAGGAGACAGACTTTCACTTTCTACTGTTGGTCATCAAAATCACATGAAATCACAAGCCATTTCAGTGGTTACGGACAATGGACAGAGATATGAAGTCAAGGCTTCTAGATATGATCGATGGTCAGTGGTAGCATTTCTGATGCATGGATTAACTAATGTTCCTGTGGATTTCATTAAACTTTACAAGGACAATGAGCTGCTGAATTTTATGAGAACGATTGGTGAAGTCCCTAAAGGTACCCCTATTGTCATGAATGTTGTCATGACACATGTAGATGGGGACCTCATGTTTGGGGTACCCTTGAGGGTAAGTCTTGGAAATGGAATAATCGAAAATGTAAAGGTTGCAGCCAATAAGACTGTTAGGAGCATCAAAAAGAAACTAGAACATTTTGGAGTGCCAAATGCTTTGCAATATCAACTTCTCATTGGAAATAAAAAGCTTCCAAACAGCAGTATTATTCAGAATGTAGTATATGATCTTAAAACACCTCTCTCCTTAAAACTTGAGGAGTTTGCGGTGTTTGTCCACACACCTGATGGAGTTATTTACAAAACTTATGCTTCAGTGATGCATACTATTGGTCAGTTTAAAGAAAAAATTCAGGCAAAATCTGGTTTTGATATGCGACAAAGTCGACTTATAATCGCTGGAGAAGAACTTCATGAACATGACTCTGCCATCTTGTACGATGCGGGAGTTAGCATAAGAACATCTATTTTTGTCAAAACAGGAAGTGAATACGAGGTTTTTAATGTCCTTGGAAGTTCATTTGTCACCAAGGTCATTCTCCCAATCAAACCTTTGACCTCTGATATTGAGAAAGCCCTGAAGAACAGGAGAGACATTCCAGAGGGCAGTGTGAACTGCATGCTGACGTTCATGTACTGGTTCTTTGTTCACAGACTGATCAAGACGAACAAGATAACTCACAGGAAACGTATCAAGAAGCGTTTGCCAAAAGCGAAGGAGATGTTATTCATATTCAATTCTGGACGTAACCTTCAGGATGTTTATCAGCGCGGCAGCATCAGAGCTGAGGCCTTGTCCCCTGCCTACTTTCCTGGTGGTATGGGCATTGAAAAACCTAACCCAAAACTTCATCATCACATTAAATTCCAAGCCAATCCGTCCTTTGAGCCTAGCCAGTTTTTAGATGCTGCAGGTGATATTGTAATGCAAGGACAAAATTTGAACTCCAGTGTGGTTCCCTTTCCAGACATCCACCACATTCCCACCACTGTAGATCCACCACATAGGGCTAGGACCCAGGCCTTCTTAAAGGGTCCAGATCGATTTAATCACAACAGGAAACAGTTCATTTACATTGGGTCAGATGATGACATTGGGCGAGAGACCCCAGCTCAACCTTGACAGACCAAGATTGAACAAGAGGCCCAGGGGCCACATCGCTCACCTGAGCAATTGGCTAGGAAAAGGCACATATCAGATCAGAACTGAAAGTTTACTGGTGGGGGGGGGGGGAGGAGAGGCTTGAATTTTAACCCCCCAGGGAGTCATGATTTGGACACACTAGAATCTACACTACCTGAGGATGATTCCCTATAAATATCACTAAGCATGGCTTTGAAGTACTTGAAAAGAAGATTTTAAAAGGTTTCCCAATATATTCCTATGTAAAACTTTTATCGGTCATTTGGCCCCATCCTACCCCCAGGGGGTCATGATTTGAACAAATTTGAATCTACACAACCTGGGGATGATTGCACAGGAGTTTCATCTTTCCTGTCTCGATGGTTCTTGAGAAGAAAATTTTTCCTATATATTCCTATGTAAAACTTTGATCGGCCATTTTGGCCCCATCCTACCCCTGGGGGTCATGATTTGAACAAACTTGAATCTACACTACCTGAGGAAGATTCCACATGAGTTTCATCTTTCCTGGCCCAGTGGTTCTTGAGAAGAAGATTTTTAAAGATTTTTCCTACATATTCCTAGGTAAAAATTTGATCAGCCATTTTGGCCCCACCCTATCCCCGGGGGTCATGATTTGAACAAACTTAAATCTACACTACCTGAGGATGATTCCACATGAGTTTCATCTTTCCTGGCCCAGTAGTTCTTGAGAAGAAGATTTTTAAAGATTTTCCCTATATATTCCTATGTAAAACTTTGATCGGCTATTTTGGCCCCACCCTACCCCCAGGGGTTATGATTTGAGCAAACTTGAATTTA